CCCGGCGCCTGAGGTCCCCGGGCGCCCACAGAAACGCTCTGGGTCGTGCAGCAGCGGCGGGGTTCCCACCGCCCCGGGCCAAGTCCTTCACCGAATTCCGCAGTCTTCGCGGGCCCAGCCGGGGGCGCTCCCCGCGACACGCTCGAGAAGTCTTCCCAGTTCTAGAACCCAGGAGAGAGCCCTCTAATAAGAAGGATCAGTGATGGATTTGGTGATCGCTTCCACAGCCCTCACCACAATCCGAAACCATCTCGGGGTATTGTTTACAGGTGATGGGGCTTTCTCCCCACTGCGCCGAGCTCCAATTTGTCTGTCTGGCTGCACCTGGATGGAGCACGCGGGGCGCCCAGCAGGGTTTGCTGGAAGCAGGCGCAGTGTAGTGAGGCGCAGGCACTTCCAGCCACAGCCCCGCGGGTTTCCCTCTTTCCATCCCCGCCTCGTTCTCGCCTAGACAATAGACAGGAGCGTCGGGGACTTACGTGGAATAGTTTTTAAATCCCCTGTGCTTCTTTTAAGCTCCCGCAGCGCCCACTGCGGCCGCCTCTGCCTCCCGCCATCCTCACGTCTGCAGAGGGATCCCCGCCCGAAAGTTGAGCCCAAAGCTAGGATGGAGGTCCTGGACAGACACCCGGCCAGCAGCTCAGAGCTGCTTGTTTGGAATCAGCCTCCCCGGCCCATTGAACCAAACCAGACAAGCAAGGGATCGTGTAGGTCCGGGCAGAAGGAGGGCGCGGCCCCGCTTCCCCGCTGCCGCCCACCTACCTGCCTCTTCCGGGCACCCAACGTCCGTGGTGAGCCTACATCCCCCGACCTACCCTGGGCAACTGGAGGGGGGGTGTCAGCCCTTCCTCTACACCCCGACTTCAATGGTCCGACCCCAGCAAAGGCGCCCGGCCGGGCAGCACTGGCGCCAGCAACCGCTTCCCCGTGGGCAGGCGGGGCAAAGTTGCGCTTCCACAAGGATGCGAAAAGTTCCCCACAGGCTGCAGGGTCTATCCTCTGGGTCTGAAGGCGATATTAAGCAGCGGCGGGAAATCCCGGGGTCCCTCACTCACCGCTCCAGGCGCCGGGGACCCCCTTGCCTTGGGTGCTGTCTGCGCCGCAGCCGCTGCCGCCCGGGCGTCTCTCTGGCTCGCTCCCCGGGGCCACCCCCGTCTGCCACTGTCTCCTGCAGCGCAGGAGTGGTGACTCCTCCGAGCGTGTCAGCGGCGAGAGGAGGGGCGGGAAAGTGGCGCCCGGCGGGCACGCTGCGGTCCTCCTCCCCCTGCTCCGCCCGCGCCGCCTCCCCGGGCGCTGCAGTGGCGGGCGGCGGCGTGGCTGGAGTAGGAGCGGAGCGCGCGGCTGGAGTCGCGGCGCGGGGAGGCGGGGGAGCCGCGCCTCTGGGTTCCCGGCCAGCTGTAGCGCTCGGGAAAGTCGAGGTGCAGAGGGCTCTGCGCCGCGGGATTGGGGTGAGGAGGCAGACACTTACGGGGAAGTCAGGACTCTTGAGTTTGTGGTAGAGCGAAGGGGCGCTAGTCCCTAATTAGTCACGGAGCGTGACTGTGCGTTGCGCACCTGCGGTCCGCGGCCCAAGTCTGTCCTGAGGAGACCAAGAATCTTGACTACCGAGCCTGGCTGGTGCCAGGGTAACGAGAGCTTGCCCCCAATTTCTGGGCCTGGGACTGACCCGTTAGCTTTGACTCGGCTTCCGGGAAGCCACCAGGCAGGGCTAGATTGGCCATTCCGCCCACACCTTACCCCCACGCAGGCACACGGGTGGAGGAGAGCTTGGGGAGCTGTAGGAGAAAACTGGAGGAAACTTTGCAGGGTGTCTGGGGGTCTCCTCAATCCAGGTAGGGCCAGACAGCCCGACTCACCAGCAGTCATTGGAAGCGGCTCTTTGGGCAGGGGGCGGGAGGGGGCGCTACCGAATATTTTAAAACAAAAACGGGAATTTCCCTTGTATTCTCAAAAACGTTACACCTCTCGGCGTGCCTGAGAACCCTGCCTCTTTGAGGCCACACCCATGACTGCTCCGCCACCCCGTCGCTGCTGCTCGGAGGGTGTCGCCCTCCTCGGACCTTGGGCCCCGTCCCTTCCTCCCCTCCGCCCCTCCGCCCCTCCACCCCTCCACCCCTCCACCACTGCCTCCCGAGCTACCACCTAGACGCTGCGGGTAGCTGGGCTTTCCCAAGTCTCCGAAGGCGCCAGCTGCACGCTCACACCGAACCCCTGTGGGGTGGGAAGCAGCTGCACAGGCAGGTGCCTTCCTCATGATGGGTGACCCCAAGCGAGACAAAGCACAGCACCCTTTTGGGGCTGCAGTGGATGTAACTTACACACCGTCTGTGCGCCAGTGTGTTCTATTTGTGTAAATATGCCTGGAAGATGGTAATGGCTGGGTGTGTGGATATAAATATAAACATTACTTGTACTTGTGTCCGAAAGGGGATGAATCGGGCACCTTCCACTATTCGTGATACTAACCGGTGGAGAGAAGAAAATACAGATAATCCGTAGTATGGATTCTCGTGTCCCATTGAGCCCGCATGTGCTTGGTCTTTGAAAGCCCGCCTGGGTCCTGTTTGGGTTAAAGGCTGTGAAGTGTTGCAACCAGGAATGGTGCTGTAGGGTACTCAGGTGAAATGGTAAGTAGGGAACACACTCATTTACATTTCATGGATCCTTCTGCATAAATGAATTGCTTAAATAATTACTTGGGCTGAAATTGTGTTGTGACCATGAGAAGGAAAATATACCCCATGGGAGTGTCTATAAATCCAACACTGGAAATAAAACTGTAAAATTTTTTAAAATCATAAGTCTTATCCAGATTGCCTGCATATTATATATTTAAAAATTGACTTCTCATCTGCAAACTGTGCTGGTAATTCATTGAGCTCTCAAGTGAATACCCTCTGAGAACTCAATGTCCCCCAAATGTCAGAGAATAATGGATTGTTTCTCCAAGTGATGGAACAAACCTTAAAAATGATCTTTCCCTGTGAGGCCCATGGAAGATATTTACAGAAATGTATATATTTTTCTAGTGGCCAAATTTTCATGTCTTGATGCACTTGAAGATAACAGTTCTCATGGGAAAATCCCTGATCCTGTGTTTGCAGGATGTGTCTGATTGAAGGCCAGGTTGTGTCAAAGGAGGGTATTTCAATGTTGTGCCTTCAGAGCACAGCAAACATTTTTTCATGATAATACATGCAGAAGTTGCTTGGCCTTCCCTCCAGAGCTGCTCTCATTCTAGGGTCCCTCCTGAGATCCCCTGGGGTCCCCAGGTCCCTCCTGGGCCTTGACCCCAGGCCTGTTGGGTTTAGCATTCAAAAGTTTAAAAATTTTAGCTCTAGTTATAGTTAATAGGCTTAGTGATTAATGCATCTAGAAAGCTGTTGTTGCAAGAACTGGAGTGCATGACCAGACCTACCCTCACTCCAGGAGAACCATACAATTCAACCTATATGCCCCAGGAGGACTGCAAGTGATCAAGATGGCACCTGAGCCATTGAGCTCCAGGGAGAGAACATTTTCTGCCCACGGATGCAGATGAAGAATGGCTGGTCAGAAGATGAAAGGATGCTAGGAAAATGGCCAGACTGCAACCTTTGTCTGATGGACCTTTCACCCGAATCTCAAACTCCTTACCTACCCTTTTCTTTTCCTTATAAAAAAAAACATTGGCTTGAGATGAGCTGTTAAGACAGTTTTTAGGATATATAACACTCCATCTTCCCAGATGGCTGACATCTGAATAAAGTGCCCATAAAGATTCAATGTTTGTCTCTACTTATTGGTTCTGGTAGTGACAAGCAGCCTGAACGCTAACTTTTCCAGTTTCAATAATAGTCTTCTTGCCCTGTCTGGTGTGGTTCAGTTGATTGGAGCATTAACCAGTAGCTGAAAGGTTGCAAGTTCTATATCTGGTCAGGGTACATGTCTAGGTTGCAGGTTCGATCCCCAGTACAGGCGTGTATGATACCTCGTCTGGGTGCATGCAGGAGGCAACCCATCAATCCTTCTCTCTCACATCGATGTTTCTCACCCTTCCTTCCTCTCTCCCTAAAAAAAAAGGCAATGAAAAAAAGTATCCTTGGCTGACTATAAAAAGAGAAGAAAAAAAAAAGAATAGTCTTCTGTACACCTTCATTGTAAGGCTGCCTTCTCTCCTAAAAACACTTGTCTTATAGGAGCTGATGGAGGGTAGGGAAGACACCTGCCCTGTTCCCACAAAATCTCAGTGATCTTGAGTTACCACCCTCCAACAAATCAGGAATTTTATTTTTCTGTGCAATGTCTGCTCATGATGCTAGACAGCAAGCCATCAAACACCTAAGTATCAAAGATCTGTCTTCACATCTGCAAAGTGGTTTCAATAAAAATAATTGCATTAGGTACAGATGCCACGGTCATTAAATTTGATAACATGCACAAGAAGCACGCAGTGGGCATAGAACAAATGTTGGTTTTCCATCCCCTTTCAGTAGCTACAGTGAGGTGTTATGGACAGCTAGTCCTCCAAGTTCAGAGTAACACATAGCTTCCAGAACAGGGGTCTAGAGAGAGCCTCATATGTTTGGAACAAAGCCATACCTCTCCCATTGTCCTCACCTCCAACACCGAGGGCCTGTAGCAAGGCATAGATAGCCACTCTCTTACCCCCAAATACTCACAGCCTTTCTAGCCCTTTGTGTCTTGAGTCTATCAATGTTAATCTCATTAAACCCTTCCTGCCTGTTTAGAACAGTTACCACAAACAGCCACAGAACGTCAAGTGCATGTCTCATCTCCATTGCTCTAATGCTCATAAGGTTTAGCACATCCTAAATTCTTCCCTTCTCTCCATATATAACCCCTGAGACCCTCTGACTAAGCCTTCTGGAATGCACAGTTCATGACTGGTAAAATGGTCTATATCCTCAGCCTCTTCACTCAATGTTCCCTTCCCACTCCAATCGAAGCCTCCTCCACCCGAAGAGGCTTCTCCCCATAACCCTTTCAGGTGATGGCTGTCTATTCTACAGTTCTTTAAATATTAAACTACCTTTAAATCTTGCTGTCATGATCAGACTTCTAAGTCACTCTGTACCTTTCCTAATTCAAGGTCACTCCCTAAACATAAATCCTGTCCTACCTAATTCTTGCAAATTCAATAAATACAGAGATGTTCATTTCAACCAGTACTACTCTTAGTTTGGAGCAAGCAAGGGCCCTGTGCTCCACCCGCCTCCCTCGTACCTGAGTGGGCTAGTGCTTTCGAATGCCTTACTTAAAAACATTTGAAGTCCCCCTCTGGTGGCTGGGTTTGCAGCCCCAAATTTTCATTAAATTATGAATTCAATTGAATATTGGGCTGGTAATTTCCCAGGGCTTTGGCAGAAGAAAATGTGTATCTTTTCTGGAGGAGTTCTCCTTTATCCTAGACTTCAAGAAAAGAACATTTTTCATGAAAGTTAGACAATAACAAAACAAAGCACCTGAGCTCACATGAGGGACAGCTGTCACATGAGGGACAGCACCATGAGGAAGAGCAGGTAAGACAGAAGAGACATCAATCCTCCCCTGAGGAAAGACTTCAGATGTTGGAATTACTGGTCACGGTTCTTACTATACTGGAAGAAAAATAAAGAACAAGCTTAAAAATACGTACAGGCAATAGGAATATAAGGAATGACCAATCGTATTTGAAAAGGTGCCAAATCAAACTCATATCCAACTCTGCTGGTTGCCTTACCAACACCAGCCCAACATCCACACACACACACACCTTACCTTCTCCTTAAAGAATCCTGATTTTATTTAGGGGTCTACCATTTTAAAAAATTGCACATGTGTGTTTAACAGTACAGTCTCACACAGAATGCTAAGAGCACTTTATATTTTACATTAAGAGCTTGTAGTAATGTGGACCGTCTATTAATGTTCACAGCACAACCAAATACATGGATTACAATTTGTTTAGACTTCAAAGCCTTAATGGCAATAATCAGAGAAGGAAACTAGTAAGTTTTTTGGACATAACTGAAAAAATAAATATTGTGTTGGCCAAAAAGTCTGTAAACGACACATTTTTCATTTTCACCAATAACTTTATGCATTTGGATATTTTGAGTATGTCAGCTATATCCTGCATGGTACAACATTGACTGTTGTCAACTAATGTCTCAGTTTGATCACTACCAGTTCAGCTGGTCTACCCAACTGTGGAGCATCATCCATCGAGAAATGTCCAGCATGAAACTTCACAGACCAGTTATGACACATTTGATCAGTCACAGAACCTTCTCCATACACTGCACAAATCTTTTTTTTGCATTTCAATTGCATTTTTACCTTTTTTAAAATAATAAAGCATAATATGCTGAAAATATATTTTCTTCCATCTTCAATGTTAAAATGGCTACACAGAAATTCACCAATTTTCATAAGTTTTTTTTAATGCACACAGATATGACAGCTGTCAGAATACAATCTAACAAAATCATTTCAAATGAAGTTAAAGACAGCTAACTGCCACTGGAACCATCTTACAGAAAAAAAGCCAAATGAACATTTAGAAGACACACAATAGAAGAAATAGGAAAATCCAGTGCAGTCCCATGTGCCCTGGGGGAGGTGGTGCCTGATTTGGAGGAGCTTTGGCTATGTCCAAATGAGGACTATTTGAAACTTTTGTGACTGCAGGTCATGAATCATCAGTCCTCTTTCTGTCAGACATCATTCAGCCTATCTCCTTTACTTGTCTTTGAAGATCTGTAAAAAACAATTACAAAATTGAAATGTACGCCCTTCTTTCCAGCTCCTAGGTAGACTTCTTTTACTGACCTGGTCACCTCTCTCAAGCCTGCATTCATTCAAGCATAAATCTGCAGCTGTCTGACATCAGGAGAGCTCGTCCAGTCCCATTGGTGGTGGTGGCCATTATTGGCGGTGAAGACCCACAGCAGCAGCAGCAGCAGCAGCTGCCAGCATGTCCTCTCCTGGGCACCTCCACTGCCTGCCAGGTGCTTGCTCTGACTTCCAACCCACCCCCTGCTCCCTGCCACTCCCCACCCTCCAGCCAGAAACTGCCGTTTTCCACAGGGCCACGTGCTTTAGGGGCTGGCCTCATTACATCTTGACCTGTCCAAACCAGTCACATAATCCCATTACCCTTTCCAGCGACTGTTTTGGATGTGGACATATTACACAATTCTGGCCAAGGTCATGTGAAGGGGAGGGCCTCTAGAGAGCTTTTGGGAAGGCTTCCTCACTTCTAAAAACATGAATGATGGCCCTGGCTGGTGTGGCTCAGTGGACTGAGTGCTGGGCACATGCCTGGGTTGCGGGCCAGGTCCCTGGTTGGGGGCCTGCGAGAGGCAACTAACTGATGTTTCTCTCACACATCAATGTTTTTCTCCCTCTCCCTCTCTGAAAATAAGTAAAATTAAAAAAAAATAAAAACACGAATGACAAAGAACAAATTCCCCTCTCTGATTTTAGACCTTACCATGCCTAAATGTGACACATAGAACTGCAAACAGCCTGTGATCATGTAGCCTAATGACAAAACATGCGCAGGATATAAGGGCCACGTGCACTTCAGGGAAGTGGAGCCGCAGCCCCCACTGCACCTGGAACAGCCCTACCTCTGATGCGTAGTAATGAACTTTGTTTTTAAAATCCACCTTAAGTTAGATTTTTTAACTCACAGCTAAAAGCATTTTTAGAACTACACTCCCCCCAAATCTAAGAGTATCTGGCACCTAGCAGATTCTCTGCACATGTCTACTAATTTAAACTGAGCTGTGCGTTGAGTATGTTTCTGTTGAGAAAACAGGAAGAATGTCTCCATCTGTTGGTCCCCATATCGTAGAAGGTGTTTGGCAAATATTTGCTTAAAGCCAAAATGGCTTCAGGATTTCAGCAAAAGGGAAACTGCAGGAGTCCAGATGGAAGGCTGCAATGAAAAAAATAATAGCTCAGTGAAAACTCAGATTCTGGAAGAATCTTTCTGCTCAAATTGTCAGGGAAGAAGCTGCCTCAGGCAGGGTCAGGGAACGAGAACCTGAAGAGGGCTCTAGCCTCCCCTGGTGGCTCCGAGGGAAGGCAGGGCAGCACCCAGAAGTCTGCTGGGGTGGAGATGGGGGAGGGAAGTAAGTGGAAGAATAGTCACAAGACACATTCCTTAGGAAAAAGGCATAATTTGATATCTGAAAAACTTCCTGTTAAGAAAGAAAAGAGATAAATTATGGGACCCTCTAAGCTGTTCAGGGATGTACCCTAGGTATACTTCATGGGCCCATAATTGCCCCCATCTATGTATATTGTTCCCATATGTATTTGCATATCTAGAGTAAAGCAGGTTTGTCACTCAGAAAATGTCTAGCCTCAGTGCATGGGGCTACTGATGAGACCCAAGTGGGGGAGGTTGTGTTCCTGAGGCCTCAGTCCAAGGCAGAGGAGCCCCTCATGGCTGATTGGTAGCAGAGAAGGCTGGAGCTACCTCACATAACATCATCAGGTCCCAGCCACTAGTTAGGAGATGCCAGGAGGTAATGCTGAGAGTTGACAACCAGTCTGCTCCGCATCTCCCAATGACTGCACAGGACCACCCAGTGAAGTGTAAACCCCCAGCCTGTTGGACTATTTCAGGTCAGCGCCCACCAGGGAGCATTTGGCTCACAGGAAGCATCGAATGACGAGGTGGCCAGAATCACTTAGCTAGGTTCTGACCTCAGCCACCCTGGGACTTGCACAATGGCCCATGAACCGTCAGCTCAACCAATGAGGGGTGTGAGTTCTTACTCCATGGAGGGGCAATTCTGAGTAATGTTCTACAGTCTCTGAGAGGGTTTCTGGTGGCCCAGTGGCCCATAGTGGTGACCAGCTCATTTAATCAACAATTCAGTGACTTCTCCCCACCCCCACTCCCTTGTCTCTCTTCTCCAGTAAACTACATGCTCAAACCCTAAACCCAAACTGAGAACCTGCTGGACAGAGCCATCTGTAATCTCCCACCTGTCTTTGTTTCCAGCCCTTCAACCCCACCCCGCTTCATTGCGGATTTGAATGTGAGGCCTCACATATTCGGTACCAACTGCCATCCCCTAAAGAGTCCCCAAGTTTCTCTGCCTCTGTGCAAAGCTGCTATACCCACTTACTCCCTGGAATACCAAGTGCTACCTTTGCCAACCTTATTCTAGGCAGCTGTTCTTCCCAGTCCACTTTCCCGTAGCTCTTAGGTTCAACTGCATATACAACCCTCATCACTTACTGGCTTGGTTATAAGCAATTCTGCCTCATTTCCTGTAGTGCAACACCATTTTGAAGGCCACAAACTCAGTGTCTTCTAGATGAGAGGCCCTAAATACAGTTTCAGTGATCTCTCAGACACTTAATTGGTCTTCAACATCCCTTCTTGAACTTCTCTTGCCAAATCGAGACTTACCAAGAGTCTTTCCACACGAGGGACCTAACAGCTCCAAGTCACTCATGGCCTTCTTTGGAGGGGCGATAGCACATCAGCGCCCTGAGAAAGCACCAGTGTTTTTAGAATGTTAATTAGATTTAATTTATTTTAATACAGGAAAAAATTAAAATAAAGAAAAACACAGATGCCCACCTCATTTCTGAACAGATGAAGAGAGATGAAGAGTCATCTCTCTGAATTTTTTCTTCTCTTTTTCTTTTCAGCAACTTCTGCTGCTGCTCTAGGCTTTATAACGAGTGTCATGATCTTCCGTATCCAGATGATTTATAGGTCATGTCTGAATATTCCCATTGGGTCTTCTACATTATTACTGCCTGGATTTTCCTTTTTAACATTCTACCACAGGTTTCCTAATACACTGAAATCTATCAAGTTATTTTCCTGCTCAAGGGAAAATTATTGTTTCCATGTTCAGAATTTGTTTTGCATAAACTTCCTGCTCCAAATTAGTGTTCTAACATTCAGCTTTTCTATTATAGTAATAAACATCCTGATTTCCCCCATTTGATCTACCTATTAAAAATACATGTAGTAAGCTCTCAGGAAGTTAGGTTCTCTTCTATTTTTGGCATGATCCATCAATATTGGTGCTGACCAACTTTTTGGATCACAAACAGCTTTTTATTTTAAAAGGTAGCATTGCCATGAATGTTAATATGGAAACATTTGATATTTATAGTTTGTCTGATTCATGTTTTGCTCTTTCTCTACACTTAGACTAATGCCATTTCCTGCTGATAAAAATATTTTTCAAAAACTCCCCACCCCTTGGCTCCATTCCCAGTCTCACTAAGCGTTCTCTGGATGCCATACTACCCATTTCCTGCATAATGATGCATCATATATGGACGTTAAATTTCCCATGATGCAACTTGAGCTCATTTCTGTGTTCACTGGCAGCCTAGAACTGGAGGTTCTTTAATAATGGGGCCCGAGTGAGCAAGTAAAGCTTAGTGTCTCTTCCCCACACACTTGACAGAGTTTCTCTGCAAACCCCAAGAAGGTAGCTTCTCACCTTTGTGACTGAAGTAAAGTCAAATCAAGCTCATCCTAGGATATGGTCAATTTTAAGGGAGGGAGTAGAAAGTCTCAATTTGTCATTAGGTCTAAGCTATAGTTTACCAAAAGTTCTGTGCTTGGGACTGTGGAGAACTTGCCTGCTCTCTGAAGGTCTGGGAAAGAAACTTCTTCCCTTCTTTATACCCCCCTCTCCTTCATCCCACAAGAGGTTGGGGGGTCAGGTTACTAGTGGATGCCTTACAAGTGCAGCAGGCTCCATCTTGTCTTTCTGACTTATTACCTCAAATGTCACCTTAAAGCTGTGTAATTCCTGTTTCCAAAAGAGGTAGCTCATCTTTGAAGGTTTTCTGGAAATGTAGGCTGAAGGACTCCCTGAAAGAACAGAAATTGGTCCTGGATTTCTATCAGAGAGATCTCAAAAACAGCCTTCTTCAGGTTGTCCCAGAGGCAGTGCAGAAACGGTACAGAGGGCAGAGAAAATTCCAGGTCACTGGTTCTCAGAATGAAATTCCAAGGAATTTCCTTGGAATTTCATCCACCTAGGTCAAGACCAAGAGGTCACTGAGCACAGTTTTTATGAAGTGCTGGAAGATGGCTGCAGTTTAACACCTTGGTAAAACCAAAGCCAAATGTCACCTTGGTAAAACACAATTTCCAAGGCCAACTTCCACTCCTCACTCTTCCAGAAGACAAGATCCAGATATCCTGGGGCAAAGGGCTCAGAAATCAGTGGCAATGGGCAGTGGTCTTAGAGGTGATTGTCTGAGACCTCAGAGTCCTGGAGAAGGCCTTCGTATCCTTATCTACAAAGAACATCAGGACTCCCACCAGGGAGAAGACACTGAAGCATCACCATCACAGATTGGTGTCTGTATCATTACAGTGGGATGGTAGACACTTGCCTGGTAGAAGAAGACCTGGGCATAAGATTAAAGACACAGTTGTCACTGTGGTAGGTGGCGAGAATACCTTCTCTTCTTACCTGGAAATACCTGTGCATAAACAGGGCACTTATTGAGGTTCCTGGGAGCAAGGACAATAAGTTGGCAGAATTCTGCTCAGAACATGGGCAGCAGAGCAGCAGAAATCTGATGAGAATTCAGATCGGTGACATCCCCCAGGAACTCAGGGCATTAAGCCTGGTCTTCTCTGTCAGGATGAGGGAAGCCTAGCACCCTGGATGTGGGCTGGGGTCCTGAGGACCTGGCTGGTCTTGGACATAGGGCAGGACTGGATTCTAAGCTGCAGAGCGAGGAGGGTGATCTAAGAGACAGCTCCCAAGGATGCAGCTGAAGTGACAAGCCAGCAGACAGTACAACTGAGGCCACGACCCAAAGGGGCTACAGAGAGCTAGAATCCAGATATGAGGCCTGTGCCAGTGTATGGTCTGCAGACAGCAGAAAATGAAACTGAGGCTAACTTAGCCCCCCCACAAAGTGATATATTGGAAGAAAAGTGAGTCAGTCACAGAGTTACAGGAAGAACTGAAGAGCCAGGATATCTTTGAACTCTGAGAAGCCTCTTCCAGGGCTGTTTTTATCATGCATGATCCAGCTGCCTCTGCCGTTAGTCTTTGTGTGGCTAGCCAGGGATTCTCAGGAAGTCTGAATGGTCCCGATCAGGGCGCATGACTAGTGGAGGGGTGAGCCAAGGGCACTCTAGTGGACACATCCCCCACCAGAACCGCAGAGAAGGTGGGAAGGGGCCATTCAGCAAAGGGAAAGTAGGATATGGCTACCAGGGGAACAGGGAGGAGGAGGTTCTGTACAAGACAACACAAGTTTTCCACTTCAGCTGAATGACAATCAGGGTGTCAGAGGCCTGAATGGAAGGTGGATAGTTTGATGTGGAGCAGTGCCCTGAGGCAAGGGTCTTTCTACAGCCCAAGCTCAGCCTGAGAATGGAGCCATGAGGGGAGCTGCTCAGACACGAGGAGTGGCCATCAACTCAGACAAACGGCCTGTAAGAGGACAGCAGCCCTTTTCCCCTTAGATGAGCCTCATTGCATGTGGTGTTCATATAGGAAGTCTGTACCCCAGGCGCTTGGCAGAGTGTGATTATAACTTCAAACCTTGTACTGCTCATTTTTTATCAAAAGCTCGGTTGTGACTAAAAAGAATATTTATTCTTTTTAGAGCCTAAAGACCAGGCAATGCATTCATTTGCTACTTTGAATGTTATACCTGTATCACAGCAGATTATCTGGGAGAGCTACATAGCCGAGGTGATTTTACTGTATCTTTTTGTGCACTTTACTTTTTTTTGCACTTTGACAATTTTATTCATTGTACTTTGATATTATATCCTCAGCCTGCAGGATATTATTAGAAACAGCCTCATTCATGCAGAGGTGATGAGGCCTTTGGTCAATAGGTCAGACAGATGAGATTTTAAGTAAACCCAAGGAAACTTTTCTCTAACTCTTAGTATCAGTAAAAGTTGTAATGCTTCTATGCAAAAGTTTTATTTTGATCCAGTTATACTTTGTCCTTTTTACAGGTTTTGGTAAAAACTTCCCAGTTCTTTTAGAGCATTTTGGGATAGAAATACATAAGGATGTAGACAAAATTATTTTTCAATCTTTTTAGATAATTGTTACTGTTAACTATTTTCAATGGTAGATAAAACATCAGAAGCTATCTAATTAATTATGAAACTAGAAAACCATGTATAAAAATATCTCAGCAGTAATACAAAGAGAACAAAAACTACAGACCAATCTCAATCATGAATATAGGTATACTCTGCTTTCTCTTCAGAGAGTATAAATCTTTTGCCATTTCAATAATGAGTATAGATACAAAAATCCTGAATAAAATGCCAGCAAATTGAATTTGGCACATTGGAAAAGAACAAAAAGCATGACCGTGTTGGTTTTATCAGGATGAAAGCATAGTCTAGTATTAAGAAACGTATTAATAATCACAGTCACACAAAACCTAGGATTATATCTCAGCATATGTTGAAATGTTAATCCTTATAATTTTATACCCACTCTTGACTTCCTAGTATAAAGAAATACATTCTCAAGATGCATTTGTATCAAACTGACAGCCACGTTATTATCGGGAATCAGCAGCAGCATTCCCATTAAAATCAGGAATGAAATAAACAGGCCCTACTGTAGTCAATATCATTTATCCTGGTCTTTATAAGCACTGGCCAATGGAATACAAATATGGACCAGAGATTTGAGATGTAACTATAAAAACGTTAGAAGAAACTATCATTATATATAGTTGCTAAGACTGTACATGTATAAACATCAAGAACAAACTATTAAGAAAAATAGTTGAATATAGATAAATATAAAAAATCATTAACTACTCTGTATACTGACAATAACTGTAATAATGTCTAATGGAAAAAGATTCTATTCACAAAAATAAAAGAAAATGTAAAATATCTAAGGATAAATTTACCAAGCAAAAAATTATAGAAACTACATAAATAAAACCACGAATTATTTAAAAGTTGAATACATGGGGACACCTATCACATTCTTGAATGGAAAATCTGTGTAATGTTCACATTTCTGTTCTCCCAAAGTTAATACATATATTTACTAAAATACAAAATCCTTAAGGAGTTTGGGGGAATATTATCAAAATGATTATAAATGTTCCCAAGCAAATAAACAGACAAGGATTTCTTAAGCATTTTAGATAAACCAATGACAGAGTACCCATTCACCCGTTAGGTACTATAATTAATTCAGTTTGGCACTGGCACAGAATAGCTTGTAAAATTAATGGAGGATTACAGATGGCCAAACTGACTCTATCATATAAGAATTTTAAAATGATAAAATTATCAATTAAGGAAGAACTCATTGGTTAATTTGGGGGAATAAAATGGGTTTGGATCATTACTTTGTGAACAAATTAAATTTCAGATGAAGAGTTTACAATAAAATTATTAAGGCAGTAAAATACTAGATAAAAATTGGACTTATTATTTGTCAAACCTCTGGATCAGTAAGAAATTTCCAAGTTCAAAAGCAATGAAAAAAATAACTA